CCATCCCCTTCCAGCAAGTTCACGATTGCCATGGCCACTTCCATGGCCACGTAAAGCACCAGCAGCAGCGGCGATCCTTCGGGGTCTGGACCTGGACCTGCTGCCTCTGCTGTGTGCCGGAGGCCGTCCCCGCTCGGCGAGCCCGCCACTGCCTCCGCTGCTCCTCCGCCACCTCGTCACACAGCAGCAGGTCCATCAGGTCGTCCCCCCCGTCGCGGCGAGTGGTGGGAACCTGATTGATGCATTCACCGAAAGGAAACACCGAGTACATGCCTTCTCGATTCGGCTCGTCAGTCTCACCCACCTCTTGCTGCTGTCGGCCCGTGCCTCGCTGTCGGTCCATGAGGCCGCCATGGGGCGGACCCTCACCCTCCTCATCGCCAGCCGCGTCGCCGTCGCGCCTCATTGGGTGTCCGTGGGGCGGCGCCATCTTGGGGACGTGATGGCCGACGAACGGGGAGGACATCGTGGAATGCCGACGAACCGAACCAACGTGGGGGTCTCTCGCTCGCACCAAATGGGGGCCACGCGATCCACTGAACCAGGCCAGCAAGCGATTCCGTGGCTCCTCTGTACCTGAGTGAGGCCATCCATCGGTCCTCGTGACGTCTGCAATGCTCCACCAGGGCTTTGAAGGGTTGCCAACGGCCAACGCGTTGAGTGGATAATCACTTGCAGCCGATATAAAATGCAGGCGGCGATTGAGACACCTGACGAGCAAAGACACACAGAGCACCAGCGAGACACGTCTTGGATGAATGTCTCCTCATGTCTCTCCTTCTCTCGTGCTCACTCTATAAACGCCTCTCCATCGCTGATGGGGCGGGGCGTTGCGATGGGATTGCAACACTATCAGATGGTCCACCAGATATGTCGCCTGCAGCTGGAAGAGGCCGTTCTTGTTGGTCACCCTGGACACCTCGTCCGGGGCACCGTGGAAGACTCAAACAGCCCATACTCAGCACGCGGATATCCCCCAACTGCACCAACAACCATCATACACACACACACACACACACCCCCATCCGCCCCTCCCTCCTCTGTCATGTGTGCTGCGGCTTACTCTTGAACGAGCTCGACTCGATGGTCTTCAGCTCAAAATGCCTCTCCCGCACGGCAGACCCCACACCGTCACTCGGCTGCTGCCGGGACTCTCGGGAAGGCAATGGCGGCAGGGACTCACCAGAGCTGCTCTGATGGGACGACGCCTCGGGAGTCTGCTGGGTGACGAATCTCGACGCAGCTGCAGCGAAGCCAGCCCGGTGATGCTGCAGATAACACACACACCACACACGCAACACACTTATGAGAGAGTTCATTGCTGCCTGTGTGCCGTGCGTCGTATTCCCACCGGCCCTCTCGCGTGACCAAACTCGCGGTTCATCCCCGCCGCCGCAGAGGCGTCGCCCTCCCCAGGTATAGTGTATGCGACGCCCTCTCTCGGCATCATGTAGGACGTCACAGGATGATAGCCACCATAGCCCGGTTGTGGCGGCAACTGCTGCGGGTGTGAGTGCGGTTGGTATTGGTGGTGCGCCGGGCTGGGGGCACCGTAGATATCTGCTGGCAGATAATGTGGCTGTGTGGCGGCAATGGCATTCAACCACGGCGGCGGGAGGGCGTCGTTGCGGGGGCCGTGCTGCAGGTGCGGTGCGCCCATGTGGGCACGAAACGCATTCATGCCTTCGGGGCGTATTCTCACGGCATAACGCGGGAATGGAGACTGGGATGAAGTTGTGTCGCGTGCACCTTGGCTGGCCGTCATGCCGCCCCGATAGAGATTCCACTGCCCCTCTCTGCCGCCGCCGTGAAAGCCGTTGAACGCACCCTGACAACAAACAGGCCATCCAACGACACACACATAAGCACATCCATGCCATGCATCAATGACATGTCCCATGGTGTGGGGGTGGGTGCGTGTGTGCAGTTGTTCTGTGCCATACCTGTTGGTGGCGGTAGTTGTTGTATTGGTTGAAGTAGTTGCTGAAGTTCTCTGGCGACTGGCGTCCCCGGTAGCTATAAGGCGCGGCGTCGCCCTCCCGCTGCTGCTGCCCATCCCGCCAGATGCCATGACCACCAGCCTCGTGCCACTGATGCTGTTGGCCCATACTTACACCGCCGGCACCCCCTCCCTGACCCCCGGCAAGCACCGGCCCTCTCTCGGGATGGTCGCTTCCCGACTGGCGCAGGCCGATGTCCATGAGCTGCTGCGGCACGTTGGGCGGATGTCGGGTGTCCCTGCGGGGAGGGGCATCGGCGCGATTCAGAGTGCGCGGGCCGCCCTGGTCCTGCGGGTCGTAGGTGTCGTAGAACGGACGGCCTCCTCGGTGGCCACCGGGGCCGCCGTATGGCCAATCTGACAGTGAGTTCAACACACACCAACCCACAAACAACAAATTGCAAGACGGACCCACTGAATGTCCTTGTCTGTCGAGTCTGCCTCTCGTTTGTCTCCCCTACCCATGGTTCTGTTTCGGTCGCGGGCGCGTGCAGCGGCGTTGGTCTCCAACTCGGTCTCGAGGTCGGTCTGGAAGCCTGCACCCGGCATGCCGGGCGGGGCCCGATGCTGCGGCCCTGATGGAGGATTCAATGGCGCCACGGGCGGCGCGGGACGGCCGCCACGGTACGGCTGTCGGTCCCAGCGGCTGTCGTTGCGCTGGTTGCAGTAGCTGTCGGGGTTGGTGGCGTAGGCGGGTCGGATATTGGTGGGAGGAGGGTGGGGGGAGGGAGTCGGGCCGGTGGGTGAGCGTTCGTACGCCGGCTGGATGATCTGGCGTTGGTGTTGGTGCCGCTGGATGGGTGGCGAGGGGATGAACTGTCCGTGAGGGCCGGAAAAGGGGCTGAGTGGCTGGAAGAAGGGCCCCCCTTCTCCTCTGAACGCCGTGGAGCCCATCGGCGGCTGCCCAAACCCGTTGAGAATGGTCTGGTGGTGGGAGGGGGGATGGGGGAGTGGAGGGGCGGGGGGGGGGGGGGGGGGGGGG